CCAGCTTGGAGTTTCTGTGGTTTGCCAGCACTGTTCTTCTGGGGAGGTAAAGATGGACTTGCATTATAAGAGGAACTGAGAGGAAATGATTAGTGTTATAGTTAATATGGCTCCATTGGTGTTCATAATAGCTAAAATAATGTGAAGTAATTAAATCAAAGTTAGAAGAAGAAAACACAGACTGCATGAAAGGATGTTCTTCTGACCCTCTGATATTTTCCCAGTCTGTTGCTAAGCACATATTATTTGTTCTACTCTCCACATACAGCATATGCATATCAAGAAAGCTCTGAAATAGGTATGTTTTGATTTAGACACCAGTGGAAATTACATCAGGTGTTTGAAGGTGAGGTAGTATCTTACAGTGCACAAAAAGCCCAACAATTTAACTTGTAATTTCACTTCCCACCCCTTTTTTTTGTGTTTAGGTAATAGACTATTTTCATTGAATTTACTGTACAGAGGAGATAAACTGATCCTGTTCACTAAATAATTACTTGCTTTTATCACCTAAGAGTATTTTAACTGCATGATCCAGGAAAGGAATATAAAATGGCTAATTAGTTCAGTGAGGCAGCCTGTACTGCTGTTGTGGTAATGAGGARTTTACTCTCTTGTTTCGCTCCCCTTTAACTCATGGAATTCCACTGCAATGCTGGGCAGTACTTGCTTTGCAGTCCTTTTGGGGTGTGGCGGGGAACTGGGGAGGAAGTATAAGAATGTTCTCAGAGAAAGGTTTAGGAGGTTTATGTCTTTACTGATGCACACAAATCCAGATGGTAACAACTCCTATCACAGAGAAGTTGCCAGTATCTCCTGTTCAACTGGCTGTTGAATTTTTAGCAAAACTCTTGCAATTTCGGCATGTTCAACCCATAATAGAGATCCCTAGGGGATGTCCTGTTTGTGATTATAGGGACTACAAAGCAGTGCTTAGAAAGAAATTTCCAAATTACATGCTAGTTTTTACTTGTTAGTAGTTGGGGGGGAAGACACTTTATTTCTAGCAGTAGTAGCAACTTACATAATCTTGGTATTAAAGGCTTTTTTTTTTACTAAGGAACTTATTCTACAGCACCTCAGCATGATTTGTGCCCAACTTGTAGAGCTTTCCCAGTATAAATAAAGAATATTTTCTTGCTTTTTGTGTTAAAGATCCATACTGATTTTAAGGAATTACTGCTTTAAGTAGCAAATGCTTTATGAGGAAAAAAAATGTCCGAGAGACACCGTATTTCAGGCAATTTTCTCTGTATTTCTTCATGATGTTGGCTTTAGGGAACATTAGGGAGAAGGAAAAGAAAGCAAATAGAGCACACTTGTTTTTCAGAGGAAAGAAGACAAATGGAATGTTGCTGATTTTGGTGCAGTTTTTTGTTCAGGGGTTGGTGTGTGGGGATTTTGTTGTTATTGTTTTGGGGTTTGTTGTTTACTTTGGTTTGCTTTTTTAATATCCATGTAGAAAGATATGATTTACTGTAAATTGACCATAAATATTTAACACTAGTGTTACTTTTAATATTTACTCGTCACAGTTAATTTTGGTCATCAGACCTATGTATTTACATTTTCAGGTTTTTCCTAATTTGTGTTGTTTATGGTACATATGCAGTGAAACTCCATTGTGTGTATTTCATTTGAAAGGTAAAGAAGTAAAGGGTCTTTATAAGCCCCTTAACACTATTATACTAGAGCTATCTGTCGAAAATACAAATTAATCAGAATCATGGAAACCAGAAGAATATTAATGTCAAAATTTATTATTTTAAAAGCAATGGGAGTAATAGTTGCTGATGCCATTTTTTCCAGATTCTGGCTATAAATTCTCTAATAAATCACACCAACCAAAAGCATCTTCTGTATTTTTCTCTTGTGTCTAGACTGAGAAATAAGAACATCCTTTTAAAGGAAGCTGTCAGACATAATGAGAAACAGTGAAGAATTTATTTGAAAAAGTACAGAAAAATCTTTACCAAACCCTCAGAATAACAGTAGGAAAAAATCCCCAAAGACTGAGTTAGCTGTAACCTTCAGTGTAGCAGTGTTTTTAAAAATTATTTTAAGCATGCAGATATATGTAAAAAATGCCTGTAAAATTAAGCAACAAATCACTGAGGACATGAAACCGATGTAAAATGACGTGGAAGTACTGACAAGATAATCTAACTTTGGGACATTTGTGTGCCTGAGGAATGAAAGCATCGCATCTAAAGTATTTTCTAAATAAGTGAAAGAAAAAGCCTATCGCACACATGAAGGTGGAAAAAGGCAAATTTCCTTGTGTCAGAAGTAAATATATGAAGTGTTCACAGGACTTTACTAACACAAATCATGTATTAAAAGTAATACAGAGTATTTTGGCATCAAAAAGGGGAGAGTTTTAGCTAAAAGCAGAAAAAGGCATTAATACTGTGATACTTAAAACAAGCAAACATTTAATTTGCTCTTTGTAGTGTTAGTTTACAAATAACCTGAACAGAGTGTTACAGTCTTTACCAATTTGCACAAACACCAGTTCTTGGAAGTGTTTTAGTTAATTTTCTGCAGGAATGAAAACATATACAAAACTGACAAAAAATTATGCAAACCGAGTGTAATCTTTGTTTATAAGCACCATACTGTGCACTATTTACAATCTATTTTCCCTAATAATCAGACTTACACATAAAAAATAAACCTAGGGCAGCTTAGTGTATAGATTTTTCTTAACCTGACTCAATATGTTTAAATACTAGGTCAGACTTCAGGTAGGGAGATGCGTGTGTTTTCAATGAACTGTAAATTTTCTTTGAGATATGACCTCATTACTTTTTCTGCTCCTTATGTGCATCAGTTGCAAAATCTAGACTGTATTGAGTCAAACGATAAAAAAACTAATTACTGAGGTATGGTTGGAACCTGAGCCATAAATTCTTGAGCTTCCATGGCGATACTTTTTACGCACTAGAGTATAAGCAATAACAATTTGATTTTGTTTTGCAACTCGCTTGCTTTAACCAATATAGCTGTTTAGAACAATACCACATGCTAACATCAACTATGTAATACAGTGCACCATCAACTATTTTATGCATTTGTTCACATATTCAGCTGGTGCCTGTGAGTTCAGATTTGTTTTTTAGTGGTACACCTTCTCAAACTGCAAGAATGACTTTATTTATATTATTCAAGCTCAAGAGCTGTGAATGTTCTTAATGGGAGAAAAGCTGGGTGAGTCAAATATGTTAAAATTCATAAGTTATAATATTTAGGGTCATACACAGGCTCTGTCTGCATTTTAAATAATGTAGTCCAATATCGGGATGGATGAGCTGATCAAAGTGGATGTGTGAGCTTCAGCATTCTTCAGTATGGCTCAAGACTTTTATTTGGGGCTAAATATAGTCCAGTCCTTTATCGTTAATGTCCCCAACATGGATAATCTTGGAAGCTGTTTACGACTGGTTCAGGCCTTTCTTCCTGCACGAGCTGTAGAAAAAAATTCTGTAGAAACAAAATTCTGTCGGTGTAGAAACGAATTCTGTACATGTCGTGGACAGAATTCTAAGTTAGTTCTTCCAAGAGCAGTGTAGTTTGCATGCACCAAATTTGTTCTTCAAAAACCACTGAATGTGCATTAAGTGCTCGGGGGATTCACTGCAAAACTATGCTACAGCTCCAATTCAAAACATCAAAGTTTAAGTTGTTTTTCTKGAATATTCATGTCAGGCAAGCCATTTGCAAGCGTATTAGCTATTTAAGTTGAATAAAAACACAGTAAGTTTAGTTTAAAAATACTTTGCCCGTGATCTTGCTAATGGTATAGGATTAATCCTCTTGCTCAACATATCTTGCCCTTTAAAATTTTGCAATATTTTATTACATTGAGATGGGAAAAATTATATATATTTTATCATGTTGTATTTTAATAAGCTGAAACACTGGAATTTAATTTACTTACTAGTATTTTTATAATATATTATTAGCATGTAGAGAAGCCACATTAGGTCTGTTATCTGGTATCACTACATGATGTCTCCTAATCTAAAAAAAAATAAAATTTTGAGATGAAGAAAGGGAAAGAAAGACTGTTCCTTTCCTGAGCTTCTCATCCATTATTGAGCCAAAATTCCTGTTCCTGTGATAAGTAGCCTTTAACTTTTGACAGAAATCCTAATGGGCAGAGAGAAGATGGATTCTGGTTTCTGACTGAAACATACCGTGAACACATTTCAGGACTCTTCTGCAAATTCTGTTTCATTGCACATAAGATGTGATTTGTTAATTTATGRGTTTATTTGTGTGAGCACAGAGGGCCGTTGTGATGAGTTAACTTTTCCTGGCTGCCAGATACCTACCCAGATACTTTCTCACTTCCCCTCCTCAGCAGAACAAGGAGGTAAATAAGGCAGAAGAACTTTCAGGTCAGGATAAAGACAAGGGAATCATCTGCCAATTACCATCATAGCAAAACAGATTGGACTTGGGTAACATAAATTCAATGTATTGCCAATTAAAATAGAGTTAGATGGTGAGAAAAAAAAAACAAAAACCTGAAAATACCCTTTCTCCCCCTTCCTCCCTTTTTCCAAGGCACTCTTTCATTCAGTGAGGTGAATCCTTCACATCCCACCCTGAGGGGTGAGTGGGGAATGGAGGTTCTGGTCAGTCCAAAACAGCTGCCCTGTGCTTCCCCTATCCCTTCACCCTCCTTCCCTGCTCCACTGTGGCTCCTCTCTGTGGACTGCGGGAGAATCTCTGCTCAGGCAAGTGGAGCATCTCCAGCATCTCCTCCCTTCCCTTCTTCATAGGATTAATTCTCACTTTTTCCACCCCCCCCCCCCCCCCCCCCCCAACATTCCTGTTTCCCCACAACTGCTGGGGGAAGTGGTTTACACTTTCATTGTAAGTTCTCTGAGAGGCACCACCATCTTGGCTGGGCGGGCTCAGTCATTTTAAATGAATTCCAAACACTTTCCAACCTGTAAAAACGTGAGTGTTTATTTCCTTTTCTAACTTAGAGACCTAGCTGCGAGGAACTGCTTGGTAGGTGAAAGCAACATTTTGAAAATAAGCGATTTTGGGATGTCCCGGCAAGAGGACGATGGTGTGTATTCATCATCAGGTCTAAAGCAGATTCCCATCAAGTGGACTGCTCCTGAAGCTCTCAACTATGGTAAGGACATAACTGGATTTTCCTTCTCAAAAAAAAAAAAATCCAAAGTACAATAAACAGCACCAGGGCAGCAGTATTTCCATTCATGCATGCAACATTCCTTTTTTCCAGTTCAAATAAATTATGTTTAAAATAATTGTAATATTTCAGTCCAATTTTGGTAAAAAACTCAGTTTTGCCTTCGAAAAAGAATAATATGCCACCATCAGAATTGCTAATATGCAGCAATAGCAGAGTGCTTTGGTTCTGTTGCTGACTCATTCTTGTAGACAGCCTCGTCAGTCATCTAAATTATGATTGCTAGCAAAATGAATGGCAAGTTCTGCATATTTATATGCCCCTATTGAAAACAGTAGAAAATGTTAATATACTAGAACACTGTGTTACATAACTCATTGCATTGGTGAGAAATACAGTCACTGATTTTATTATTTTTAACTGCAATTTTTCTTTACCTGCATTTTTGGATATAACTAGGCTGTTRTAGTGTAGTTAAAAATTCATTATTTGTCACTGAGGGAAGTGGTCCACCCTACACGGGTGATAGTTGCAGAACAGAAGCAGAAACTGCTATACTTAGCTTTTTTTTCTTATAGGAAACTAGGAAAGTAAGTTCTTCTGGGTAAAGTGGGCTGGGAAGAATCGGCACATGTAATAAATGATGGCATTTTTGAATATACTACTCTTAACCAATTCTTTAGCTGAGTACATAGAATAAAATATTTTTAAATTCTTCATTTGAAGTGTCTATAAATACTTCTGCCATCTCTTAAAGCCCTTTTTCAAAAATTATGCATTGGAAATCCTAAATTTGTGAATTATGATTGATAGCAGAATGCTTCCTCTCATTAGCACTTCTGCAGTAGTTAATGACATAACACAGTAAAGCAGATCTTCCCTTTGAAAGGCTGACAGTGAATTCAGTTGCAGTAATTGATCCTATATTACCAATTATTTTAAGAGATGTTAGTGTTGCCAGCATTCACTGGTGAACGCTTTGCTCTTTTGGGTGTGTGATCCACTGTAAAAGGTGTTTGGGGTTTTAATTTCTGTTATTTTGGCATTGCATACAGTGTATTTGATATATTGTGAAAACCTGTCCTTCATATGTGCTCCAGTTGGGTACATGTAGCAGGGGACAGACTCACAATTGTGACAACACCTTCACTTTGTACTGCTCAGTCTTTCTTTTCTGCACAATGCAGGAGAGGGATTGTTGATTAACATCTATTTATTTTGTGTTTCATACAGCACATACAGGTGCAAACAGCTATAGGTCATTTTCTGCAGAAATAACYTGTCTCAAACATCTGTTAATATATTCATCAGTCTAATACTCAACTTTCAAAATGTCATAAAAGGTTTCTGTGTGTTTTGGAATGGTAATTATTTTCACTTCCTTGAAAGATATGAGTAAAACTTAGTGGATTGTGTTTTATTGGTTTCCATTCTAGTAATATGGTTGTAAGAACTGTGTTGATTTGTGTAGGTAAGACTGAAATTATTTAAGACACCAGAATGAAGTAAAACTAAATCTGCAGTATTTCCAAACTAGGTGGTAACCACTGGCTGTGTCAGTCCTTGATGTCAAAATTCAGAACAAAATGAGGAATAGCATCATTTGGCCATTTCATGAATGCTAAAGTGCTTGAGAAGCTACAAAAAAAGTTCTTTTTTTAGTCTCTTCTGAATTCACCATGTATGACAAATTAAGAGCTGTCTGTATAAAGTATCTTAAATTAAGAAAAAAACACAAGTTGTGAAGGCTAGAAATCTTCTAGCATCAGATTAGGTCAAGTGGAGTGGTTAGGGCATGGTGTCAGAAGCTTCAAGCAAAATTCAGATGCCATTGGGGTTTTTGAGAAATGGAACCTTTGGTTCTGTGAGTGCTGTTCAGTGCCATTCCACAGCATTGTGGTCACTTGGGAGGACAGACCCCATCAGCCCTTTCCTCCTTCTTGCCTTCACTTTATACACTGAGAATGACGTCACAAGGTATGGAATATSCCTCTGGGCAACTGGGAACACAGCTGTATCTCTTCCCAACTCCCAGGCCCTGGAATCACCTCACCAGCATGGCAGTAAGAAAATCAGAGAAGGCTTTGCCTCTGTGCAACCCCTGCTCAGCAACAACAAAAACATCTCTGAATTATCAACCCTGTGTTCAGCACAAATCCAAAACACAGCTCTGTGCCCACCACTGTGGAAAAATCAATTTTACCCCACCAAAACTAGCACATGTTTAGAAGTATAAGGTATTTTTACTTCCTGATCTTCCAAAATTGAAACACATATTTGATACGTGTGTTTTACCAATGTGGTATTTTGAGTTATTTGTCATGTTAATAGTAATGTGTGGAGGACTTGGGGCTTCTTTCTGAGCAGATATTCCCCCTCCTCCCCATAATAATGTAATAGCAGAAAATATAATTAACTGTACAAAACTTGGACTTTCTTTAAAAAAACGAAACAAAACAAAACAAAAAAAATAAAAAAAAAAAACCAGCTAATTAATCACCTGTCTTATATCTGCTGAATGCTTTCTGTGAAAAGTGTTAAATTGCTGGATCCCAAACCGTGGGGAGTTGATACACAGACAAGAAAACCAATCTTACTCCAAAGAGCACAGTGAATATCCAAATTTCCAACTATGAGGCACACAAGCTAATATAGCACAGCTGGGAGCGGTATTTAGTCTAGGAGTAAATGTAATTTTCTGACGTCAGAACAGTTGTCACTGCCATCACTGTCACTATAATTTACCTGTTTTTTCCTGGTCAGAACTGGCTTAGTTTGGTTTGTTTGATGATTAGAGATAAACATAAACATAGAGATAAACATTCACAAGTGAATTTTTAAAGAATAAAGATGCATAAATACAAAGTAATAGTATGTACAAAGAAGAGCAGTCATGAAAAATGTTGAAAGTAATGTTGAAAATGGATTTTTAAGGTAACATTTTCACTGATTCTACTGCAAAAAGCTTGGAGCCATAACTTTCTGAGATTAAACCATCAGGGGCAATAGAAATATCTGCTCCAAAATGTCTCCTTTCCATGTAATAGAAAGCTAACATTCCATAAAGAGGCTTAGAATTCAATTATCTATCAATTATCTATTTAATTATCTCTGAGGCATAGTTGGAGGCAGTGGAACCACCAGGCCTGATTTTTTTTCTTCAACAGATTGGGTGCATCAGTTCTCCAGGGTGTAGCCATACTTTGATTTTCAGAGATCAGCTTCTCAAAGCTTGAGAACCAGGCCTCCTTCACACTTTACGAATGGTGTTTGGGGTAGCTCCTCTCAGAATAATCACAGCCATGCTATAATAGAGAACTGGGAAAGGTAATTTTTTTAAAGAATATTTCTAATTGAAAGTGATTGTAGATAAGGGGGAAAACCCTGACATTTTTCTGTCCTTTTCTGTTAAAAGAAAAATGGTTTTGTACATTAAGAAGGAAAGAAACTCCTAACATGCGTGACTGACATGGTGAGGTCTGTATATAAGAGCTTAAGGTTAGCTTATGTTATTTCTAGGTATTGACTTTAATATAGTTTGTTTATTTATTCTTTTAAATACTGGAGAGTCTGAAATCTGTAGAACATATTATTTGTACCTACAGCTTTATTTACTTGAAGCTTGCACTTCTGTAAAAGTAACACTTTTACAGAAAATTTTGGGCCATAATTATCTGAAATACTAATTTCTCTGTTTGTTAAGCTGAGGGTTTTTCCTTTTCTCAGGGAGATACACATCTGAGAGTGATGTATGGAGCTTTGGAATCCTTCTGTGGGAGACTTTCAGTTTGGGAGTGTGCCCATACCCTGGAATGACCAACCAACAAGCACGAGAGCAAGTTGAGAAAGGTAATTATTCATAGAGAGTGAAAAGAATGCTGGATAAATTGTAAGGATGCAGTATAAAATAGCAAAGAAATAACACAAGAGTTTTGTAGCAACTTTGGCAAAAATGGTATGTTTTCTAAATTGCTGAATCTTTCTCTCTGGGAACAGTAGGTGGTATATAGGCCTTCTAAAAAAAAAAGGAATATACTGACCAGTAACTTAAAAGGTTAGAAGACTTAAAGCATGCTGACTTTCATTGTTGCAGAACTAACAGGTGAGATGGAAAGGAGGGAATTACTGCTGTGCAAAGCAGAAGCTTGAACAGAATGAATTATTTAAGATTATGCTAATGCAGGTATAAATATTCTAAACTGCCAGAAAAAAATCTGTATCATTCCATCTTCTTTATTAAATCATTTCATAGAAGAATTTAGCAATTTATGGTGGAGAATGGTGAGCTAGTTGAGCATTGCAAGCTGCACTTCTCTTTTACAGAATAATGGCAAGGCTTTTACTTAAAATAGCAAATAACTGTGAGCAGGATTTCAGGACTTTGATTTATTTTTATCGATTTTAGTGGCTTTTCAGAGCTGTTCTTTCCCTACACAATACTATTGTATAATTTATAAATGGGTTCTTCTAAACTAGTAAAACTTGTAAATTATTTAAAACAAATAACAAACAAAAAAACCCTGGCTTGCTGATGTACACACATTGCCAGTGTTTGTTATAGTGGTACAAGCACTGTAGGTGACTACCCAAGTCTCCTTAAAGGCCAGATCAGATCCTTGATCCCAAGCCACTCTTTTTTAAGTCACGTGCATTCATCCAGTAGCTAGAGCAGATACATGCAGTATAAAAAACCCCCAAAATTTGTATGTTTTAAGAGGTCAGTGTTGTTTAGAAAGGGAGATGCAGAGACTTGTGCAGTGGGTCTGGAGTCAGGGAGCGGCATTTATCTGCAGAGTCCTTTGTGCCAACGCACTTCACAAGTCACAGAGTCACAGAGCCCACGAATGACTGAGCTATGCAGGGACCTCACGATGTCATCTGGTGCAGCCTCCSCAGTCAAGCGGATCACATCCAGATGGATTCTTCATATCCTTAGGAGTGAAGATGCCATTGTCTCTGGGCAGCCTGTGCTCAGTCACCCTCACCCTCACACTGTCCTGATGTTCAGGAGGAATTTCCCATGTTTCAGTTACCACTTCTGCATTGTGTCACTGGGCATGGAAGTGACTAATTCCTCCCAGTACCAGATTTTGTGTTTGATTTTGTCCAGGAGCTCCTTGTTCATCCATATAATTCTCCTGACATTTTTCCCAACTTCCTTCTCATTGGGAAATTGTCTTCCTTGCTGTGAGCACACCTCTGTGGTCCAGGGTATTGATGATATGCCTGAGTGGCCACTTACCTGTGACTTTTGAATGATTAGCTGCTAATTTACTTAACTGATTGTCCATTCCCTGCTCATTGCCAAGTCAGAGCAGAGACGTGTGGAAGCCACTGCCTATCTAAGCAAACCAGGAGAAAAGGAGTGTTGAGATAAGATGGACAGACACAAAAGTTAAGAAAACAGAGGGAGAAAAAAGTGTAACTAATAAAGAGGATATGGGGAGGGACTTCCTCAAGGAGCCAAAAAAGGGAAGAAACGTGAGAATAAAAGTTGATACATTTTCAAAAAGAGCAAGGAAACTTACTCCCATCTTAATTTTTATCATCAGTTTCCTCACTGCATGGAAGAAAGGAAAGCTGAAAACCAGAAGGTACCTACTACCTAAGAGAGAGGAAACAAATCCGAGCACGTTAATGCTATTAGGGATGAGCAGCAAACTGACAATTTACCATCTCCCACTTAAATGTCACTGGTACCCGAGCTTTAATTAGTTTCATAATTATCTCTCGTGTATAGGTTATGTATTGAAGATGTTCCTTATACTGCTTTGAAGGTCTTTTAAAATGGAATGCTCTTGAACTTTGCCCTTTTCCTTTTAGATTTGTCAATATGCATCAGTTTTCACCCCTAAAAATTTTCCCCACTTTTTCTGTGTACCAGGCTACCGAATGTCTGCACCACAAAAATGTCCAGAAGAAATATATAAAATAATGCAGAGGTGCTGGGACTACAAGCCAGAAAACAGGCCAAAGTTCAGTGAGATTCAGAAAGAGCTGTCTTCAATCAAAAAGAAAGTGACATAATGATGAAGAAGTGGCAAGCTCAATGTCTGGGACTTTATTTTCCAGTGAAGTAATTTTTTTCCCTCAAACACTATGCATTTATACAGCATTATTTGCAATAGTCTTGTAGGATTACTTTGAAATTAACTGATGTATCATCTTGAGTGGTGTCTACACCTGCATTAAAGATACATACTGCAAAATGCTATATATCCAGGCACAGTAGTACTGTAATTTAGATTACATGTACATAGCAAAGCACATACTATAAATTTAAGGGACTGTAGCTTCTGTCTGTTTTACAGGAAATAACTGCTAGTGGCATTTTTCAGAGGTGTTCTACTTTCAACTGTGCTCTCTGCTTTCCCTGTCCTTTAAGTCAACATAATAATATGGGAATTATCATACATGTTGGCCTTAAAACTGAAGACAGTTTTGACAAGTATTTCAACTAGAAACTTTATTGTTTTTTAAAGTCTCTAAATGATATATTTAAGTGAAGCATGAAGGTCGCTTAGATTCTGGGTGCAAACATGCTTACTGAATGCAGAAATCCAGAATTTTCTTTTGTAGTTGAATTACTTGTTCATGTATTACCATGCAATAGAAATACTTCTGACTTTTTATGTGATCTACTTAAATCATGCCGCCTTTTTCCTACAATGCCATCAGAATTCAGTAATGCTTCTTTTACAGTGACCTATGTTTATTTTAGAAAAAAAACCCAGTATAAAGTCTTGACGTGCTAAGAAATACTGCAAACCATCTGCCTTCCAAAGAATATGTAAAAGTAGCAGGCAAAGAAAAAGAGGTTTATTAATAGTACCAGCAGATAACAAATATCATTGATCTTAGAGGAGCTAATGAATGTGTTGCTAGATTTGCTTTTGATCCTGKTTTTTTTCCTTAAATTGGTAAAAATTCTCAGAATGCAGCTGGAGCCTGCGAAAGTTTATTCTAAACAAAAGAACATTCCCTGCATAGTGTCCAAAGGAAAAATACTACTTCTGTATGGCATGAGGAAGTTATTCAAACAACCAAAAAGCAAGAAGTATGTTTAAAGCCTCTGACAGGGAACAGCAGAGTAGAAATGCTAACCTTCTATTTTTCTTACAWAATTGCAATCAAATATCAAAAGACTGGGGATAAACAAGGTTTAAATGCACCAAGAATATAAACCTTGTGTTTGTATATATATACATATAAATATATATTAAGAAAAAAAAAAGCCAGAAAGAATAAAAACTTACTTGATAGGGGAGGGAGGAAAGGCACCATTTGTTTCTTTGAGTCTGGGTCCTCTTTGCAGCTGGAATTGTTTTCTAGGGCTCTACGTGGAAATAGGAACAAGTTACAGTGTCCCTGTCTGAGTTCCAGCATTAAGGTGCTTCAAATATTCCTATGAATTTACTAAGATGTTCAGATCAAGGGATACCAGTTGCTGCTAATGCAAGTAAGAAACAGGGATTGTAAGTAACACAGCATCTGGAATGTTAATTAGCCTTATATTTTAGTGTTACAGTGGGGTTGAGATGTAGTGAAGTCAGTGGCTACATTATGTTTTTATTTCTTTTAGGGTGGCTTTTCTATTGTCCACATCTTCTTTTGCTCTCTAAAGTATATTTACAGTAGTGCTGAGTGGTGGTTTAGGGCAACGTGTGACCAAAATATGTGTAGTCTAGAAGAATTTGTCTGTTACATAGGAATTAGTGTCCAACTGCAACAGTGAATGATTGTGTGGRAGCATATCACCTGTGTTTGGGGTGGAAATGCCAGTATCAGCTGTAAGGAGTGGTGAGTGCTTCTTGCATTTTGTTAAGTGATTTTTTTCTTGGAGATAAGGAAGCATATATATATATATRTATACACATACCCATGAAAATGTAGTGCGTGGAAAACTTGGTGGCATAAATTAAAACTTCATTATAAGTGTACTGGATATATTTACTTAGTTCTGTACTTCGAGTAGCCCAGAGATATTTTTCAAGAGCAATAGGAAACATTCTTGTTAGTTTGTATGCTTCTAAGTAGTACACAGAGTCTGTGCCTTAATTTGCTAACACACTAATGCAAGTGCAAGTGTACTAAGACCTAAGGAATGTTTCACAATCATTTGGGAAAATCCGAGGTTCATTCAGCTGTATTTCCTTATGTATGCATCCCTAAGGTCTGCAAGTGAGGAAACAGTGTCAGCCTTCATAGCTTTTCTGTGGAAAAAAAAAAAAATATTCTTCTGTGAGAGAGATGGACTGTTTCTTTGCCATATGCCCTTTTGACAGAAAAGAAATACTGCTTTATTCTGGTAAAATGAAATRCTGTTCTATTTCTCATAAATTAACCAGTCACCATCCTGACTCTTGCAAAAAGACAAAAACCATACTAAGATTTTATTCTGAAATGGTTAACCTCCATAGATATATATCACACTTCTGCTTAAATTTGAAGTCTTTTTAGAACAGGGGATTTCTACAGCTTTAGAAATTTTTTTTTACTGCTCCTGAAGTAGGCATCAGTTCAGTTCAAAACTGGTAACACTTTGGGAGAATACCAGGATGGCTTTATAGGTATWGAATAAATTTCAACACAGGTACATGTCTCTTCAATTATTTAAACTTTTCATATCATTAATTTAACAGTTTGTGGCAGAACTTGTTTATCATGTCTCAGTTGATTGTTGAAACTATACAATTTAGGAAGTGGAATCCATGCCTATAGATACTATGGGCTTCTCATAGTAGAATCCACAACTAAGCCTGCCATRCCATGAAATTTAAAAGATAGATGTGGCATTCCAGAAGCAAAGTTGCAATATCTTCTCTCCTTGGCCTTTTGATGACTTAATCTTGTCAGGTTAATCTCACCCTGACCATTTGGCTCATGTACTGTGTCTGTCATAGAGAACTTAAAAAGCAGTTAATATTCAGTCTCTTTTGCAAGTGTTGATTTCAGGTTAGGTTCTTACACTGGCACTGTCAAACCCAGGGGGACCCTGAAGGAATCCCGAATTATTTTACACTGTTAATGATAGGAAACTCTGAATATTGTTATCCTCAGCTTGCAATGTGAGAGGGAATTCAACAGATTACCTCTAATTTTCATGTTTTTTCTAGGAATTACATTCATCATTTTAAGAAAATTGCTTTGATGGCAAAAAGTGCATCCTTAGTTTGTTTTTARTAGAAAATAAGTGTATATTAGCTTCCAAATCCAGTCATCAGTGAAATTATAAGGTTTCCTAAGCCTCTTTATTTTATGGAAAGTAAATTAGTGAAAAGTAACAAGTATACAAGTTTTGCTTCAGCAAAAGGTGATCTTGTAGCGTTAGCATCCCACCAWGTCATTATCTTTGAAATGTGCATTTTCATTACTTTCTTTGAAAACCAGTGAACTAGCTTTTCATTTAACCCTTATACTGCATTTTTTCTTGACAAAAATATGCCTTTTTGCAGAGTTCCCAAAAACTTTTTTGGAAGTTGATATTGGGAAGTACATCACCAGAAGGGCATCAGTAAGAACTGCAGCGTGTAAAGCCCATTCTTACTGACAGAAAGGCGAACTAGTCAGGGAAATAGTAGGTTATTCGTACTTAAGCATTTTTTCATCTTTTACTACCTATTATGCTTTCTTAAATTCTACAAGCACATCATTAAAACTGCCGATGAAGTTTCCCATTTGTTATCTCTTTACAATTATTTTGTTAACCTTTTTCCACCCATAGTAAAGATATAGAGAAAGAAAAAGAAAACTCCACATTTTTCTGAGGTTACGGAGTAACTAAGTCTCAGAAGCATTTAAAAATGTCTCCCCTCCCATTTTCCCAGATGTGCTGCTGCACAAATATTAACAGTAGTGATTAAATACTAGCCCTGTTTCCAGTATTCTTGCTGTCATACCCTGTAAACRTCAGTGCTACTCACAGACTTGAGAGAGTGAAATATTTTAAGACCTAAACTAGTGTAAATAGTGTCATCAAACATTGTATTTAAGAGCAGCAGTTGTGAAAATAATTGTCATAAATAATAACTCGTTACGAAGATCAAATAAAGAGAAAGAAGCTGAGAGAGTCCACTTCTGTAACACATGTCCCATTTGAAGGCAGTAGAAATATTAGTTATGCCAGTGCACTTGGATTTGTATCATTTTTATGGCTAAGCATAAAATAGATTACTATTAAAGAAGAGTTTGCCAGTTAATTTTTCTTTTTCCCTAAAGCACAAAAGGACTTCAGATACTGTTGGAAGCATTCTTCTGAGGCAGGTCAGGGAAGAATACCCTTACTACCAAGCAAGTTACACACTTTTTTCTTCTTTGAGTGGTTTTCATGAAGTCCYTCACTTTCAGTAATACAGGACTTCAATTAGCAATTATAAAGTACAGGGCAAGTCCAGTATTCCAAACAAYGAGTTTTTAAGAGATCTGATAAATATGAAATATAATCTCTTTTAAAAATGGAATGTATGTCCAGAAACAGAACAYAGGTGTTAACTTCATTTTCAGGCAGTTGTAAATAATTGGCTGTTTCGGAGCACCATTTTTTCTYAGGCATCATCAAGGCAGGACTTAAGGTAGAATTTTCAGATGGTTTATTTAGGTTGTTTTTTTTGCAAGATAAAAGGCTAATTAGGTCACTAGCTACAAGCATTGTTGTTTTGCAGCTGTTTGATTTTGTGGCTGTGAGAGGGTATTTCATGTAGAGATCTCAKATACATATGCCTTCTCCAAATGAAAAAGTGGATAAATAAAGCCCTCAAATGTACCTGACTGAAGCCATAAACTGATAACATAGAAGAGCCATGAACTAGATTCTTTCTTCCTCTATCTCCCAGAATGTAAGACTTTGTAAATAAAACTCGAGTTAATTGGTTTTGTGTTTATAGATAAATRTGGCCTCTGAACCAATATGATAACCTAGGATTCACATTGAGCAGAGAAGCTCTTTTGGAAAAATCGTGAATTGCTACTATTTGGAACTGTCATCTAGTTTTAGAAATACAAGTATTTATAAATAAGTACTTAAATTAAGTTTTGTGATTACAGTAAGTGACCCAGCCATTTAAACTCTTCAACAATGTAAGGCAAATRGGGTTTTCAAGAGAAAAATCAGATCAGTGAGTCCTTCTAATGTTGAAAGTATGGGTCAGAACTTTGCATTACTAAAAAAAAAATACAGAGTACTGTCTTTTCAGTCAGCTGAGTCTTTCTCAACATATGAAGAATTCCRTAATTGTTAAGTGCAAGAAGTAATAGAAGGTTCTTGCATTACTGATGTGTAAACTACTTGRCTCTGAGCTGTTGCCTCAGTTCAAAGACTCTTTCTACTTTTTAAAGAGGGCTGCAGTAAGCTTACACTTTAGCTGCACTCTCTGCTCTCTGCTTATTAAGCTGTACAGTTGCATCTCCCAAATATTTCCTAGTTCTGAAGGCTCCATGTACCATAGATGGCACCCTTTCACTGGTGACAGAAAAGTCCAAATATACCCCTGCTTATGTTTAACTCAGAAATATTGTGGTGCTGTTACACCTTGATGCCCAGGTAATGTGTTCGTATGAAAACAGAAAAAATCAAGGTGAAGCACATTTTTCAAATGACATTTTTAATTAAATTTCAAACCCTTTCTCTATCATGACTTGTCCACATCCTGAAAGAGATCAGAGGAACAACATTTTGACTGTCTAGTGTACAATACAGAACTTCCTGCTCCACTTAGGGAGAATTATAAAAACAAATGTGCTCCTTGACATTTTGCTGTCAGGCCAGATTGGAACACTGTCTTCAAAATCAACAGCAATGATTTAACCCAAGCTTTGTTGTGAACTTCCTTGTTCTTAACAGACCTTTTCAGGTAGTATTAATTTTCATTATTGTCATCCGTTTTGCTTTCTGAAATTTGACTTCTCTGTGTCATACAGCATTTGCTTACAGTGGTAATTATACACATCCCACTCACCACGAAGTGCTGAGACCTGCAATTCCAGAAGATTGGCATTATTGTTGTGTACAGGGACCTGATCTTGCACTGSGTCTCAATTGATACAGCTTGACATGTTTATTTCCACTGTTAATTGTACCATTACCTGCAAATCACGAGTTAACTTGTTTTTCCACCAAGCTTCCCACGTAATTTTCACAAAAATGCTGAAAACATGTAACAGGGAAGAGCCCCATGATAAAGGCTCGTCACACAGAGCACAAAAGACAGGCAGAGTCCTACAAAGAAACACTGAGGAGTGAAAACCAACATTAAACACCTGCCTTGTACCTCCTGTTAAAGGATAGAATAGTTATATATGTGTTCAAATGACTTCTGGGGAGGAAACGGGCTGGGGTTGTAGGACTGCTGTTTTTAAAATTGCATGTGTTGCTTTTCCTTTGTGTAACTCTTGGTAGCTGGAGATGGTGCAGGGTGTTGCAAAGGAGGGAAATTCAGATCACTGACTTACCATCACAAGCAAGATTTTTGACACCAGTAGCCTTAGGTGGGCGCAGATACTGTTTGCAGATGTCTTTGGATATCTACTCAATTCTCAATTTTGTGCCAAAACATGCACCAGCAAGTCTAATGTCAGGTAAAGCACCTTTTATGCTCTTTGTTGTTTAAAAATAATATATTTGTGAAAACAGATTGATAATACATAACACTGGAAATGGGTGCTTCTTCCCTAAAGTACATGTTAAAAAAAAGGAAATAAAAGAAACAACATTTGTGAGTTTATCTGGCTTTTAATCAAGTCTGAAAATTGTAACTATGTTATGCTGTTGCCAGTTGTCGGTCCTTTATAATTTTAAATAGATCTGCATTTTAACTTTATTTATTTGCCAATTTTTATATACTTTACAGTATAAATATCTAAAGTTACACTTTAGATCTCAAGCTAACTTTTTATTTTCCTAGGCTGTTATATAACAGATTTTCAGTATTCTTGTGAACTGCAGACCCTTTTCGAACAGTCCTTTGTCTTCTCCTTTGGACCAGTTACCACTAATGCATCTGCAGTCCCCTTTTTACTGTACTCCTCCAATAAATGTAAAATATTTGTATCAAGCTGTCTCATCTTATTTAATATTTACAAGTTGTGTTTCTTCATTTACTTCTGTAATAAGTGGCAGACCAGCTCTAGTAACATTGCTTTTGGAAATAGACGCAATTCAAAGTACTCTGCTTCACACAGTGAGGAAAAAACCCAATTTTTTTTTTTTTTTCAGTTTCTGGAGATAATATCTGTATGATTCTCACTCACAGTTTCATATTTACTTTGGTGTTCCATTTGCATATCAGAAGATACTGAAGCAAAGAGCAACCTAGGGGAAAGAAGGGAAAGGAAATGTTGAAACAGGCTGAGAACTTTGTTATAAGAACATTATTATGCATTAAAATACATAAACCAATGTTTTGAGATCTTGTGGCTAACAAAGTATGAATACACCCTATTTGAAGAGTTCTTCCACTGCCTAATGGTCCCTGYAGATGCACCTTGTTTGAAGACCCAAACCAGGCAGAAAGATGGGGTTTTGGGTACCTGGCCCATACATGGTGTTGTTAAACACTCAGCACACACTGGCACAGCACTGTGATTTGCAAGACTTGGTGCCTGCCTRAAGAAGGATTTACAGCAAAGAAGGGAATTTACAGCTCTGGTTTGTAAGTGGGACTTAGGTGCCTGGGGTTTGTGTCAATTTTTTTCCAATAGAATACAGTTGTTCCCTTTTACAAATACTTTGAGGCATTTTTCCCCWCCATCTCCTAGCAATCAAGAATGGATGAGGTGTAAGTCCAAAGCTCATCCCCTGAATTTCCCTGGCGTATGTTGGAACAGCAGACAGCACAGCGTGGGATTGCACACAGGTCTGATACAATTCTGCTGAGACTAATTTATTAGCAAGATAATTTTAGAAAAGGTTACTGCAGCTAAATCTGTCCTGCTCAGTGATGCCTGGCCTCCAAATAATAGAAACATGTTTGAAAACCTGTGATTGCCAAACGCTGAGCAATAGAGGGTCATCAGATTTCCTCGTTTGAAGTGTCACAGCAGTGAAACAGGAATGAGATTAGAAAAAGGAGCCTTTAARGAGATCAGGGCCTTTGTGCAGTCCTACATTTCCTGCAGTTTAGAAGCACAGTTAAAAGACTTCCTTTTGAAAAGATTTAGTTGATTAACACTTCTCAGAAGATCCCAGAGGACATTGGTGCCCAAGGACCACCTTAAATGGCAGCATTTCCATATTCTTCAGATGCCCAGTTTAGCCATGCAGACACATCTTGCCCTAACAAACCTTACGGCCYACAGTAACAAAATGCTTCAAAGTACATATTCCCCAATTCCAAGGTGATATCATAATGCCTCATTTTGAATTTCAGTTCAAGTTCTCCCTTCAGGACTTTTTGTGCCTTGCTGACTTTTGAGCCCTAACCATGCAGGTGCTGTGTAGCTGGCAAAACTCCACACAGGATATTTGGGCACAGAAATTTTGATCCTGGATAGCAGTGCTCATTTGAGTTTTTTTCTAGACAGCATTTGCATGTCAAARCTGGATTAGTTTTTTTTCTCTGCAAATGGCAGACATGCCTCCCTCCCTTTAAGATCCAAATACTGTGCACACAAAGATGTTTTGATACTTGGATAAATCCTCTCATGACATTTGACAGAAAAAGCATTTTTGTTAAATGAAGGAGAGATTAATTTTGCTCAGAGACACAGAAAAGGCCCACATCTGAGGACTCCAGGCAGAATAATGTGCTGGCCGTCACCCTGGTGATTTGGGGAGTGAGTTTTTTGTTTGTCAGAGACACACTGGGCTGGCTGAGTTCTATAAATGTTCTCTCAGGTCCCTGTGTTTCCATCAAGTCCACACCCTAGAAGCTTAACCTGGCCAAGGACCACAGAGGAATCAAAAGCCAATTATTCCCGCATTTAAAATTTCTGGTAGATCTATCTCCTAAAACCAAACAGGTTACTGAGAAAATCTGCAGTAAAGTGCACTTGCTCGATATGGAACACAAGGGCCATAGCATCAAGGAGTAGGAGCTTCCACCAGTGCCAGTTTACTGATACGAAGTTCCTGATAGGACAGTGCTTTGAAGGACTGTGTGGTCTCCATCACAGTCTGCAGCCACTGCTCAGTCCTCCTTGAACTCATGTTCCAGCCATAAAAAAAAACCACAAAAATATAGTGACATCACTGATACGGTTTGGATTGCAGCTGTGCACTTTGCACCTCAAAGGACACAGCACAGATAACACCAGAAAATGTGCAAGTCAGTGACACACACACACGGCTGACACTGCAACACACAGAGCTCTCCTTTGATGCAATTTCATCAATATTCATCTCCTCCTCCATCACCCTCCCGTCCTTGCAGGTCTTCTACACTGAAAGCGCTGCCACTAAACAGTGTGCAGAAATGCATCAGGACTGAAGAAATAGTTCTGTGTTGAGAATAGACAATAATGAGACAGTCTATTTTTCTAACTAAGCTCCCAGAGCTTTCAATGACCTAATCTGCTGCAAAAACAAGTCTGGGAAGAGTTACATCAAGCTACTAGTTAGCTTAKAATCTTCAAAAGAATCCTCAAAGGAACAGGCTGGCTTTTGACCACGCTGTAATGGAAAGAAGCGTGYGTCTTCAAGAGACGTTTTCAAGTCAAGATGGATTAGTTCTCTGACAGCTGAAAGAAAAATGAGATTGCATTAGCAACACCTGGAGTATATGGAAATATTTTTCTACTTTCTATCTTAAAAGCTTGCACTGCCAAGAGCAATTTGCTAAAGAAAAGGTACAGAGAAGGGTTAGTAGGATAATTCAGTTGCTAAAATTTGGTCTGTGCAGTAGCAGTAGCTACGAAAGCACATCCTGTTAACATTAAGATATGGAAGTCATAACTCCTATGAAGTCAGACAAACATGCACTGAGCCCTTACCCATAAAGGTCCTGGAGACCTTCACTCAACTGAACCTGCTGCCCTGTGCAAATATCCTTTCCACTGCTATATTGCCCTGAGTSTGCAATGAAAAGAATGCAGTGACCTAGATCTAGCTAAATATAATTAGAGAGCCCTCAAATATGATGGAGCTAGACAGCTCCATTTCACTCATAGTTATGGATCCAGGGGGTCAGGTCTCTAAACTCTGGGCCTGAGCTGGGTTCATTTTTGTAATTTGCATYTGATTTACAGAGAGATAGTTTGACTTTCTGTCTGTCTCCAGATTTCAAGTTTGTCAAGCTCTGTCAACCTTGGAATGCTTGGTTTTGTTTTTTTTTGTTTTTTGTTTTTTGGTTTGTTTTTTTTTTCCCTATAGAGCAACAATATTTAAGCAGGAAAGCTATGAACAAAACATCTCTCAGGTCTTTGTGCACACCCAGCCTGATGAGGGGCAGGAAAGGCCCTGGCTCAGTGCAAGCCCTGCTCAGCAATAACAAAAACATCCATGAGTTATCAACACTGTTTTCATCACAAACGCAAAACACAGCTAATGTGAAGAAAATKATCTCTGTCCCAGCCAAAACCAGCACAACACAGTGCACAGTGCAGAGYAATTTTAGGTAAGAGGGAGTGCTCCTGCATCTCCTTAGGGTGCAGCTCACAGCAGCATCACGCTTCCACTCGCACCCTGCGAGGCAGGAGCTGTCCCTGGTGTAAGAGCTGCAGATGTGCTGAGTGCAGGAACCAGGGCTGTTCCTCAGGCATGAGTGGAGGGATGAAATAAAACAAGCAGTGTAAGCACCCTGTAGGTGTTTACATCAAACMGACAGTGCAGCACCTCCGCCAGCCCCGTGCAGCTGGGGGTGGACGGTGTATTTTCAAAAGAGGGCRAAAAGCCCTTGGCCAGCAATTGTGTCCTCGGCTTTTAGAGCTGTAGGGGGTTTTACTAAGGCCTTGGAACAAAGTAAATTGCCTCCCTGCAGACCCAGTTCCAGCTCTGACTGCTGAATTGGGGAAAGACCCATTTTGGGGCTCATGGATGTACTTCACCCAGAAATGTGTGGGAGACCCTTGGCTCATCATGGTGATAGCAACTTGTCCCCCCAAGGGCTAAAAACTGACCTTCCACACCCGATGCTGTGCCTGTAGCTGTCCCGGCCCTTGGCAGCTCCAGCATCCTGCATCCTTTCACAGGCCTGACCCTCTCTCTTCGGAGCTGAAAAACATCACSCAAAGCAGTTCCTGAGAGCCAGAGACTGTGGATGACTTTGAAAAGCATAAACAACATATGCCACAGTCTGTCACTCAGGGATTATTAGGTTTATATCTGTAACTCCTCTAATTACAAAATCACTGTGAAATACAAGGTTTAAGTGAATTTAAAACTAGGAAATAAGAAAACCCATGCAGCCTTTTAATTTTTTGGCATTTTCTTCATGATCCACTTGCAAGCAGTAGCTGCCTTACATTCTGATGTTCCTACACTGATATATGAGAGTTCTTATAGAGGGGAGGGTGAACAGTTCATTAAGGACAAGTTTCAAGAAAAAAATTGTGCTAGACAATTGCAGAAAAGTTGAAATTCAGACAGGTTTATGCCCAGCTATTTGATACATAGAGTGAATACTGGACTGCTAGATTTTTTCCTACAGTGTTTCCATCACCTGTGCTCCTTCCTCTCTCTGTTTTACTCTTCACAGGTAAGGTCAGATTAAAGCAACAAAATCCAAGARTCAATATGCTCTTATGTGAACCAAGCACCTGATTATTTTGGGGGAAAAATTAAAAGCAGATAAATTCTTACCTTCTTTTACAAGAAAAGTAGCCTTGACTTTGCAAGACRTCTTGGGGTGTTCCTGCTGTGAGGTTACGGGCAGTTTATATGCCAGAAAAACATTCTCCTGAAACTTCTTGAGGCAAGCAAAATTTCACAAACATCRAAAATCAGTACACAGCCTCTCTTTCTTTTATTCCTTCCTATTCTAATATTCTTCAGCCACAGGGATATCAAAGGCTTTGGTGGCAATGGATGCAATTTAGCTGCTCCTAGAGATGGCTTTAGAGAATGCATAATCAATTTTATAAATGAGCAGCTGGCCTGCACAGCAAGGTGCACTCTGCATTTTACCAAAATGAATAATGAATTGCAGATACTCTGCATTAAGAAGATTGGCTTTTCTCGTAGACACTGATATGACCACGTCTTGTTTGTTTYACTTGTTGGGAGATAAACCAATGCCTGGCTATTGCATGGTGTGCCCAGGTTTTTTCTGCAGTAGCCATGGCCAGCAGCTGCAGAGACAGCCTGTCCTGGGAGGAGGCTCCTGGACATGGGCCATGGTCACACACTGTGGTCAGCAGCTTGTGAATGTCCACCTGCCCAGCTCCTGTGGATCCTCCACTGGACACAGCCACCAGTAAGCCTGAGGCTCCAACTTTGGACATTATCTTCTGCAGGCCCCGC